CCTGTCCCGGGTGCCGGTGCCGCCGGGGGCGGTGCGTTCGGGGCCAGCCGGTGCCAGCCGGGCCGGCCGCCAGCCCCCGCCGCCCGCCGGGCGTGCGCAGGGACCGCCCCGCTCCGCTGAGACCGAGCGGCTGCGGCTGCTGCGGGCCGGGACCGGCACCGGGCCGGGACTGCTCGGGGTCATATCCCTGCTCGGGATCATCCCCCTGCTCGGGATCATCCCCCTGCTCGGCATTCCCCCTGCTCGGGATCCCCCCCGTGCCCCCCCGGTGTCACCGCCCGCAGCACCGAGAGCTGCGCAACCCCGCCCGCTCGGCAGGTGAGAGCCGGGCCCGGGGGTTTGGGGGGGACAGAGGCGAGGCTGGGCTGGCTGAGGACAGGGGGTGACATTCCCGGGGTGCGGTGGGAGCTGCGGACCCGGAGCTGGCGACCTCTGTGCGCGGGGGTCGGGGAGGGCCGGGTCGGTGTCCGCGTTACGGGCAGGGATGGCCGGAGCCCCCCGTTACAGACAGAGATCCCCTTTAGGGACAGGGATGCTGAGAGCCCCCCATTATGGACAGAGATCCCCCCGGTATGGACAGGGATGCCTGGAGCCCCCCCTTAGGCACAGGGACGCCCAGAGCCCCCCATTACAGATAGAGATCCCCCTTAAGGACAGGGATGCTGGGAGTTCCTCCAGGGATACCCGGAGCTCCCCCGGTATGGACAGGGATGCTGGGAGCCCCCCCGGTATGGACAGGGATGCTGGGAGCCGCCGAGGCAGCAGTGACAGCTCAAATGAGGGAAGCTGCCTGGGAGGGGGGGCTGCGAAAACGAAACCTGCTCCTGCGCTGTCTGACAGCTCCAACGCTGCCCAGAAATGCTGCGGTTTAGTTTTGTACCGTTCCCTTGTCCCACTGAGGTCTCGGGCCAGGGGGGGTGAGGGGTGTCAGCCTGGGGAAAGCCCCCAGAGCAACTCTGTGCTCCGGGGATGCTGCTGCAGGAACCAGGGACACCCCAATACTGAGCTGCAGGACACCCCTCAGGGCTCAGGGGCTTTCCACCTGCCTCCACTGAATTGGGGTTTTGTTGTCACCCCAGGCAGAGGACACTGGGTTTGCCCAGCAGCCCTTGATGGGAATCCTTCTGCCTGGACACCTCGGGTGCAGAAAAGTCTCCTCCTCCCCGTGTCCCACCTCAGCCAATGCCATGGCACAGGCAGGGGAGCAGGGATGACAGCTGGCAGGGTGACACCCCCGTCGGCCACTGGAGGTCCAATGCCATCTCTGCTCGCTGTGCCAAGCCCAGCTCTCCTCCAGCACAGCAGTGGGCGTGTGCCAGGAGGGGACATTGGCCCTGCCCCCGGCTCGCAGCTGCATCAGCCACTTGTTAGCCCGGTGGGAACAGGGAGAGAGGGGCTGCCCTCCGGAGTGGGCGCCTGGCATGGTGCAGTCTGGCTGTGGAGGTTGGCACTGGCTGGGCAGGTAGGGCAGGGCAAAGTCTGCTGCTTGTGCCATCTGGCTTTTATCCTGCCAGGCACCTCTGCCTTGCCTTTGCTCCTCTCCTCCTGGCAGCATTCCTGCCCCTGCCGGGGTCTGGATCCAGCCTGGCTGTGCCTGTGCCAGGGTGAGCTGTTCCACAGCTCTCTCCCTCAAGGCCTTGCTGCCAGGAGCCAAGCACTGTTTGTGATGCTCTGAGAGCTGCTCATCCTCCCTGGTATCAGTTAGAGAAGAGTTTGTTTCCCGAGAAGAAAACGTCAGGAATCAGCTCGGATTTTCCATGGCAGAGAGGGGAGGGGAGCGTGCTGGGCCATGCATGGCCCTGGCATTGCATACCAGGGGCTGCCAGTGCATCTGGCAGAGGCGTCAGCAGCTCTCCCCACTTCTCCCCCCGTCCCAGTGGCTTTTAAATCAGCTCTTGCCGTCTCAGAAACATCTCTTGTTCCAGCGCTGCAGAGCCACTCTTTGTACTTTGAACAGCACCCTTGAATGCCAGGCAAGGCGCCAGGCACCGACAGCCAAGGCAGGGAGGGAACAACCGGCCCTGGGAGCAAGGAGCTGGAGTGGAGCTGGCAAACCCTGCTCTGCCCATGGGAATGGGTCCCTACACAGTCCCAGTGCTGGGTGGCACCTGGGGGCCCCCCTGCCTGCACCCCAGCCCCACACGTGGTCACCAGAGCGTGGGCACGTGTGTGTGGCGAGTCCCTGCCTGCCACACGTGGGTGTCTGCAGCCAGCCTGCTCCTGCCTCGCAGCACTTCATGGTTTTATGGTTTTGGAGCGTGCCTGTAAATGCAGATGGGTTGAGTGGCCCTGGGGATGTGCTGTGGGGTCCCCCAGGCACAGAGTAGGGAGCTGGGTTGGGCACCAGAGCACCAGTGTCAGGGCTGGCTGTGCCACCCCTGCAGTGTCCTGCTGAGATGGCGAGTGCAGAGCCCGACTCTGAGGATGCAGCTGAGGATGAAGAGGCCGTGTACGAGGTGATGCCCTGTGACAGGATGGAGCTGAGCCAGCGCCTGGCCGTGGAGGAGCTCATCACCACCGAGGCCAGCTACGTGCACAACCTCCAGCTGTGTGTGTCAGACATCCGGGCACACCTCCAGAACAAGCAGGTGACACCGGGTACCTCCCCCTGCCCCGGGGCTGGTGACTGCAGGGTGATCTGTCCAGAGCTCTGAGATGCCCAAATCAGTGCATCCTGAGCTCCCCATCACCAGCCAAGCTCTGGGGTTGGATGGACATTGGGTCTGACCCAGTACAGCCATCCCATGACTTTAACCCTGTCCTATCTGGGAGCCCAGACAGGTCTCAGCATTCCCAAAGCCTCCTGAAACAGAGCGTCCCTCCAACTCCTGGGGTGTCCCTTGGGGCACACAGAAGGTCTCTAGGAGTGCCTCTAAAACACCTGATACTTGTGACACCATCTCTGATATATTTGGCTTAGCCTGGGGCATCTCTGTTCCCTTCAGCTGCCTGAGCTCGACCTGGAAGGACTCTTCTCTAACACCGATGAAATCCTCCATGTCTCCAGACGGTTTCTGAAGGGTCTGGAGGCCACGGCCGGCCAGGGCCAGGAGCAGCTGCTCTGCATCAGTAAGTGGTGCAGTGCCCATGGCTGCCCCGTGCCCACCCATGCTGGGGGTGTGCCAGCCCAGCCCCCTGCCCTGACACCTCCTCGTCCTGCCCAGCCTGCAGACGGTGATGGGGACAGCACCAGACCCAGTTTAGCAGGGTGCCCAGAGGGCAGAGCCCTGCCCTGGCACGCTTGGCATTGCTGCACTGGCTTTGCCCTTCCTGCAGGCTGGGGAGAAACCCCTGCCTTCTCTGAGCCGGTGGGAAAGGACCTTCCTCTCCAGCCCCACTCTCCTTCCCCAGGCACCCTGTTCCAGGAGTTCAAGGAAGAGATGGAGACTGTCTACAAGATCTACTGTGCCAGCTACGACCACGCCCTGGAGCTGGTGGAGAGCTACCGCAGGGACCCCCGGCTGCAGGGGGAGATCCTGGACACCCTGAATGCCACCGTGTAGGTCCCTGCTGCTGAGCCACCACCTCCCTGTCCCTGCCTCACATCCTGGCTTTGCCCTTCTCCTCTCTGGACAAGCTGGATGGATCACCAGGCTGGGTGTCATATCATGGCCACCACCTTTGTGGCATTTCCTGATGGCAGCCTGTCCTGGACCCTTGGTTCATAATCTTTTATAAAGGATCCCAAAGTAAGGGATGGGTGACATCCACAGCTGCTGCCTTCTCCAGGGAGGGCACGTACTCCCCACATCGACCAGAGAGACACAGGCTGGCCCTAGGGGACCTGAACTATCATGGGAGGGTCACAAACACTGTCAGAGCCAGGAGAAGCAGGAGTGGCAGTGGAGGAACTCCTGGGATTTGCTGCTTAGGGCACAGGCAGTGAGATGCCTTCCCTGTGAGTGGGAAGGGAGACACTCTGCCAACCCCTCCCTCCCTGCTGCCCACGGACCCCGTGTGCCAGGGCTGGACAAGCACAGCACTGTTCAGGGAGGCAGGACACCCACACAGGGCTGGCACTGCCCTCGGGGCTGGCTGGCAGGGACAGAGTCCCCCTGCAGCTGGAGTTCACAGCCAGAAATGCCCCACAACATCTGGGCTGCTCTCCCCAATAAACTCTCCCAGAGAAGCCATGGAGAGCAGCAGGGCAGCCCTGCACACAACCCTGAGCAATCCCCTCTCCATCAGGCCTCACACGGGTGCGTCAGACCTCAGCTTCTTCCTGGTGATGCCCGTGCAGAGGGTCACCAAATACCCTCTGCTGCTGGGGAAGATCCTGGAGAACACCCCGAGCAGTGCCAGTGCCCACTCAGCCCTGCAGGCAGCGGTTCGTGCCATGGCCCAGGTCAATGCCAACATCAACGAGTACAAACGGCGCCGGGAAGTGGGTGAGTGCCCAGGGGCTTGGTGCAGGGGGGGCACAGCACCCAGCCCAGCCCCAGTGCTCTCCTGGGCACTAATTCCCACTGAAATCAGTTCAGAGCTGTCCTGTCCTGCACTTAACCCTGCCTGCTGGAGCTGCAGACTCTGTGCAGGCAGCTCCTGGAACTGCTCTGGTCCTGTAAATGCCACTGTGGGCAAGACCCAAAGGCTGCAGGAGCAGGGTGGCATGGGGGGACTGAGGACAAAACCAGTCTGTCCACATTCCTGGGACTGGGGAAAACGGGGAATAACAGTCCTGACCTTGGGATAGGAGAAATCAGGCTCCCCATAGATGGGAGCTCGCCCTTCTTTTTGGTTTTCCAATCCTTTCATTCTTCAATGTGTTTTGTGCTCATGCTGTTGATCAGCCCCTGTGCTGCTCACCTTCGTGGCCTGCTCAGCCACGAACTCTCCTCTTCTGCTCTTTTGTCCCCTTGTTTTGTGTCCTCCCACCCGAGGCAGCAACCAAATACAACAAGGCTGAGCACCTGACGCTGCGGGACCGCCTGGCACGCCTCAACACCCACTCCATTGCCAAGAAAACCACGCGCCTCAGCCGGCTCCTCATGCACGAGGCTGGCATCGTGGCCAAGGTGGGCAGCCCTCCTCCCCTGCCCTCACCCCTGCTGCCCCTCCTGGGCTCGTCTCTGGGGCGTTTTGCTGCTCCTGAAGTGCCTCAATAGCGGAATGGGGAGCACAGGGTGGGGTGGCTGATGCTGCCTCCCGGTCCTCCAGCATCCCAAGGATCAGTGGGATAACAGGGATGCGAGGACACACCTCACTGCCCACCCAACAGAGCATTGCAGGGCAGCACTTTGGCTCTCAAAGCACCTACAGCATCCTTGGGCCCCCCAGCAAAAGGAAAGACAGTGTTCCCCAGCACCACAACCACACCAAGAGCCTTGTTGCTGCCTGCACCAATGTTTGACCCTTTTCCAGATTCATGGAGCCCCCCAGGCTCTGCCCTGCCTGTCCCAGCCCCATCAGCTCCTGGCTGCTGTTTCAGCCCCCAGTGATGGGCACCAGCCCTGCCCATGCTGGTGACAAGCTGCCTCTTTCCTTACAGACTGAGGACAAGGAATATGATGACCTGGAAGAGAAGTTCCAGTGTGTGGCATCCAGTGTGGCCACGCTGAAGGAGAACGTGGCATCCTACCTGGGCCATTTACAGGTAAGACCTTGACCACTGGCCAGGGCTTGGCCCCATCCCCTCAGGAGCTGTTCCTTGGGATTGTGGAATTCTTCCAAGCCCTGTGGAAACCAGGAGCTGTTGGGGATGTTCAGGGATTTGCAGCTGAGCTGTCGTGTCAGGGAGTTGCACAACATCCAAAGATTGCTCAGGTCCAGGGGAGTTTAAACCAAAGGTGAGGCTTTGACAGCACTGTCTGAGCTGGTGTCATTTGAGAATAATCTGTCCTTAAACTTATCATTATTTCAAGGTCTTAAATGATTGAAAAGGCCAGGTGTTGTTCAGCCTGGGAATTCTTGCTTTAATAATGTGTATAAGGCAGAAATGTCCCCAGATCAGTCCTGACAACAAACTGCCCTTCTGAAATCACCTGGGTCAGCAGCTGCTGCGATTTGCTCACGGAAATCCCTTGGGGCATCTGAGGAAAATGAAAGTCTGAGTGCTGGCAAAACATGCAATCCCCAGACACAGCATTAGCAGGAAAGCCTGGGGAAGCTGCTGAGGGTTCAGCAGCAACTCCTGGGCTGGAAAGACCTCGCAGGAAAAGATTGACAAGGGCTGCCCACACAGGATTATTGAGAAGGAGTTAAGGACTGAGGTTCTTCTCCCTGCAGGCGTTCCTGCTGCCCACCCCACACCAGTGTGACCTGCAAATGGACGAGGGACCCGCCCAGCAGCATCGCCGCCTCTCTGAGCTCCTCCAGAGCTCCGTTTTCCCAGAGTTTGTGAGTGCTCCTTCCCTGCACATCTCGCCCAGCCCTGCCACCTTCTGCCGGGGGCACAGCAGGGGCTGGCAGCCAGGAGCTGAGTCTGCCCCAGTGTCCTCACATCCCCCAGAGCCCAGCTTGGCAGGCAGAGCCAGGAACGAGTAACAGGATCCATCTGCACACATGAAGTGAGGGAGCAGCTCCAGGGGAGAAGGGAGGGCAGGGACAGAGACACAACAGCAGCAGCAGCAGCAGCAGCAGCAGCAGCAGCACAGCTCCTGAGCCCATCCAGGGCTGGCATGAGCTGTCTGATGTGCATCCAGGGGCATGGGGAGGAGACCAGAGCACCCCAAGGCAGGGGCAGAGGGCCTTTAAATGGGATCTGGGCAGGGGTGTGGGGAGAGACTCTACTGAGAATGCTCTGAGCCATGAAGGGTCCAGCTGTTTTCATGGAGCACAAATTTGGAATTTTGTGGGGCAGGACTGCTCCCTCCCAAGGGTTTGTGCTGTTGGCATCCTATGTGCCCTCAGGGAAAATATCCCAGGTGCTCCCCACCCCACACAAACCCCTCCACAGATCCCCCCAAACCTTCCCCCCCGGCCCTGTGCTGGCAGCTGCTCCCGACTGGGGGTGGTTCACATGAAATCGGGGTTCTCCCATCTCCCAGAAGCAGCGTGTGGACAGGCTGGTGTGGCAGCCCCTGTGCAGCCTCTCAGCCATGCTGGAGGGGCCCCAGCAGCTGGTCAAGAAGCGCCTGGACAAACTGCTGGACTACGAGGAGATCCAGGAGAGGAAGAGTGAGATGGGCAGCGTGAGCTATGATGAGGAGGCAGCCATGAACACCTACCTGGCCATCAATGACCTGCTGGTGGCTGAGCTGCCCCAGTTCAACCAGGTGGCCCTGCAGCTCCTGGGGCAGATCCTGCGCTCCTTCAGTGCCCTGCAGCTGGATTTGGCTGCCCAGGTCCTGCACCAGGCAGAGAAGGAGCTGCAGCAGGTGAGTGGGACCCCTCAGGTACGTGAGCTGAGCCAGACCTGCCTTCTTCAGGTCTGGGAGATCTCTCAGGTATCAGGGCACTGAAGTTTTGCTGTGGCCCACCTGCTGTTGCAGACACCCAGCTCCCTGTGGAGCATTTGTAGGGATCTCCCTTCCTTCCTGCCTGGGGAAAGCCAAATTTTCTCTTCTGCACTACCCTGCTTTGTGTTTGTGGACACTGCTGGTAATTTATTGATGTGCTGCTGTTTGAGAGATCAGTGTGAGCTCAGAGCACCTGAGAGCCCCGTGCCAGGAAGGCAGGGAGAAGAAAGGCAGCTCCTGGGCTGGGGTACAGCCTCCCCCAGCCCCATCCCCTGGGAGATGTCTCCCAGAACTCCTCACTGTGGGATTCTGAGCCTGATGTTTGTAAATACGGAGAGTGAGGGCTGGCAAAAGCCCTGGGGTGGAGCACAGCCCTGGCCTGAGCCAGGACCAGGAGGAGAACAAGGTGCAGCTCAAAGCCAGAGAGGAGAGGATCAAACCTTTGATCCCATGTGCAAGGTGAATTTAGTGATCAGCTCTGGTCTCTTGCTTTCTCAGCCCTTTTCTTCCTCCTGCTTCCCTTCTGCCCCTACCCAGAGCTCTGTCCCTGATCCCAGTCTGTCTCCACAGCTGCCCCATGGCCACATGCCCCTGCCCAGCTTCTGGAAGGTGGTGGAGGACACCCTGCAGCAGTCAGGTGCAAAGCTCCGTGCCTTCTGCCAGGCCTTTGAGACTGTCACACCGAGCCCTGGCACACAGGTAGGGCTGGGCAGGGCACAGCTTAGGCCAGCTGGATAAAGAGAGATTGGACTATGGATTTATCCACTGGGGCTGTGGCTTCCCAGTGCAGAAAATCCCCTTGGTGGGGAGGTTGGCTCAGAACATTGCCCAGGGGGTTGCCACAGAATTTCCCCCAAGCCCCTGAGAGCAGCTGGCTGGGGATAACCAGGGATGAAAGAGCTCAGCTCTGCTGGCTCTGGACACTCATCTCCAAACCTGGGTTTGGGTGGAGCAGGGAGTGTGGAGGAGTTCCTCCTCTTAACCTGGCCCTGGGAGGGTCTCAGTACCCTGTGTCTGATCGAATGCTCCTGTGTCTCCTGCTCCCCACCAGCCTCTGACCCCTGCTGAGGAGAGGAAGGTCCTTTCCCTTGTGAGCAAGCACGGCCCAGACAAGCTTTACCAAGTGACCAGCAACATCAGTGGCAGCAGAGACTTGGACCTGACCTTGCTGAGGGGACAGATCGTGGCTCTGCTGCAGAGCTCTGACACCAAGGGGAACACGAGCAGGTGGCTGGTGGATGCTGGAGGTACTGTGGGCACTGTGGGCAGCCTCTCCTCACCTTGGCACCAGGGCCAGGTTCACCTGAATTGTTTCCTTATCCTGGATGAAGCAGCAGGCTGTGGTGTCCTGGGTGCTCCCTTCCAGGCTGTGTTCAGCCCAAGGCCACCTCAGCTTTGTCATCAGCTGTGAGGTTCAGGTGTCCTGACTGATTCCCCAGGGGAGCACTCATGAAGGGTCATGGTGGGGAAGGAGAATCCATGCACCACAACTCCTCTTTTGACAGGGATTTCTCCTGGATATCCCCTAGTTTGAGCAGGGCTGCTGTGCCATGCCAGACAACAGCCAAAATGTCACTCCTGTCCCCTCCAGCCAGTCCTGCCTGTGTCAAGCAGCAGGGCCCCATGAGCTGTCTGTGTCCTCGTCCTGCAGGTCCCCGAGGGTTTGTTCCTGCTGCAAAACTCCGGCCCTACAGCCCCGTACAAGTCCAGCAGCCTGGGATGCAGCTGCTGTCCCTGGACAGTGGCACAGAGAGAAGGAGACATTCCTATGCATCCCCTGAAGCTCCCAGGCCACAGGTGGCCACCTTCACCCCAACATTCCAGGTGAGGGTGGGGGACACACCCAGGGCCGTTTCTAGCAGCCCTACCAGCTCCCTGCTAGTCCCTGTGTGGGTGGGAAGGTGGATCTGCTTTTCCAGTTGTCCCCCTTGCTGGGACCAGGGTGGACAGGGCAAGAGAACTGTCCTTGGTGGGTCTCCAGTCCCTCCATCCATGGCACTGCTGTGCTGCCCTCTTGGAATTGCCTGTCCTGCCACATCCTTCCCCCCTTAACTCCCAGCTCCAGCTTCCCCCCTTTCCTTCCCTGCCTCCCACAGGTGGTCGCTGGCTTCTCCTTCACAGCCAGGAGCCCGCAGGAGGTGACCCTGCAGGCAGGGCAGCCCGTGCTGCTGCTGGAACCCCACGACAAGAAGGGGAGCACAGAGTGGAGCCTGGTGGAGGTGAATGGCCAGAGGGGCTATGTACCCTCCAGCTACCTGGTGACCGTCCCCGTGCAGGACCCTGCGGGCTGGAGCTTGCCCGTGTGAGCGTGGCCAGCCCACAGCAAGGGCACAGGATGGGAGCAGCCAGCTTGGCACCCGAGGACACCTCACAGGAATGCTGGAGGGAGGCAGCCCCCGGGCTGGGAAGGTGGTGGGAGGCACCTGGGAGACACAGTCCAGGGATGTGGGCACGAGGATGGCACTTGGGAGGTACCTGTGACACGAGGTGTGAGGGTGCCAGGTGCTCTGTGTTTGTTGGCACAAAGCAAAGCAGCACCAGGGAGTCGGGGCAGGTGGCTGCAGTTATCCAGGGATTTGCTGAAATCCCTGCAAGTGACAAATGTGGCCTGGGGATGATGAGGCAGCATCAGCCCTGGTTGGAGCAGGATTGAGCAGCAAAGGTGCAGCACTGCAGAGGGGTCCTCAGCCAGGTATGGGGCACTTGGGCACTGGGCACCTGAGTACCTGAGAATTTGGCTACCTGGGCACCTGGGAATTTGGCTACCTGGGCACCTAAGTGCCTGAACCCTTGGGCAGTGGCAGGTGGGCACTGGACACCTGGGTACCTGAGTACCTGAGCCCTTGGGCACTGGGCGGATGGGCACTGGGCACCTGAGTACCTGAGAAACTGATCTCCTGAGTATCTGAGAAATTGGGTACCTGGGCACCTGAGAATTTGGCTACCTGGACCCCTGAGCACCTGAGCCCTTGGCCGTGCGCACCTGTGGCAGCGCTGCGCTGTGGCCGCCAGAGGGAGCCCCGCACCCGCTCCCAGTGCCCGCTCGGCCCGTACTGGGAGCACTGGTGCGGGGAGAGCGGGGACACAGCCCGGGGGTTCCGCACCGCTCAGGGGGACGGAGATCGTCACTCCCCGGACCCCCCGTCCCCTGCGACCCGCACAGATCCCCGGCGGGTTAACACGGGTGCCATAGAAGAAGTTTTTGGGAGAATCCATCCGTGTTGGTCTTGAGCTAAGGCTCGGTTTGAGAATGGAGACAACCTCCCTCTCAGCATTCCCGAGGTATCCCAGCTCCCTGCCTCAGTTTCCCCGTGGCTGCACTGTTTGGAGATGCTGATACGGTGCCAGAGGGGACTTCAGGAGCCCCCCGGGACTGGCACCGCGCTCTGCCCGTTCCTCACCCTCAGTGGAGCTCCGGGCTGGCGTCTCCCCGGCTGCCCTGGGCTCCTGTTTCTGCCCGCATCAAAGGTGCCCGTGCCGGCTGGCGAGCGCTGGCACGCCGAGCCCTGTGCCCTGCCCTGCCCTGCCCGGGCCACCCACGGGCTCCCCGCGGGCTCCCCAGTGCGGTCCTGGCTGCGGGCTGGGCAGCGGGGCAGGGCTGGCACGTCCTCAACCGACCCTGAGCAGGTGCCAGGCAGGTGGGGACAGGCCCCGGGCACTGCCCTGTGTGTCCCACATGTGGGGCTGGGGTCTGGTTTGGGGCAGAGTGGGGCTCACCCTCCTTTGTACCTGTGGGGCAGCCAGCCGTGCCCAGGTGGCATTGAAAGCCCCGAGGAAATGCTCAGCTACTCAAAACATGGGAGGGGACAGCAGTGCCAGAGCTGGGGACACGTCCTGGGGATGCTCCCAGCTTAGGGAAAGGTTAATGGATTCCTCGGGAAGGGAAAATGAGCAGGCTGGGGGATGAGGGTCATTGGGCAAGGGCTGAGTGTCTGTGCTTGCCCACCCAGCCCAGGCCCTGCAGCCACAGGGCTCACCCCTCCAGCTCCCTGCAGATGGCTCCTCTGGGTTTTTCCATTCCTAACCAAATCCCAGGTCGGGTTTCCCTCCCGAGTCACCTTCCTGGCAGCTCAGTGGGGTGCACAGGTGAGGGCAGCAGTCGGGCAGGTCCTGTTCCACAGCCCGAGACCCTTCAGAGGGTTAAAGGTGATGGTGGCACAAGGAGTGCTGAGATCTCTGCTGCCTGGGTGGGCCCCGATCTTGCCACTGGAAGGAGATCTGGGGTGGTCAGGACTTGTCTGGGCATCCAGCAGGAAAATGGAAATGAGTTCATGTGGCTTCTCCAGCCTCTGGATCCCAAGGGCTGAGCTGGGCTCTGCAGTTCCCCCAGTCCTGCTGCCAGCCTCGATGGCCAGGGGACCTTTCCCAGGGATCTGTCCCCAGGACAGAGCCTGGTACTAGCCTGCAGGATGTGAGTGCCTGCACCCCTCCCTTCTCCCAAGAATTCACCCAAACCCATGGCACTGCTGCTGCCCTGAGCCTGGAAGTGCCCTCTTGGAGTCACGGGAGGGCACGGGGCTCTTCCAGCCTAAACATGAGGGAGGATAAAGGGCACAAGTGTGCCTTTAAATAGCCTGTCAAGGACAGGCTCTCCCGGGAGGAATGCTCTGGCTGGCCCGCTGGAACATGCCTGTGCCTGGGGGCACGGGGGGACAGCTGGGCAGGCCTGGCTGCTGCCAGGACACCAGGTCAAGGTTAGGCACGGCCCTGGCCCGGTGCCACCGTGCCACGGCTTAGCAGCAGGGAAGCAGAGCCGTGCAAACAGGGAAATGAATGCCAGGCCAGGGGTTTGCCGTGCCCGGGGCTGATCTGAAGGTGACAGCGGAGCCGCTGCTGCCTGCGCCCTGCCCGCCAGCCCGCCCGGAATTTGGCACCGGCGCTGCCTGGCTGCCGGTGCAGCTCCGCTTGTCCCGGAGCGGCTGCTGCGCTCCTGTCCGGGCTGATTCATATCCTGGACGTGCAGGCATTTGGATATTGTCCACCCGCGGGGTGTGACAGCGCACGGCTGTGTCCCCAAGGCGCGGGTGCCAGCCCGGCCGTGTGCCAGGAGCAGGACGGGGCAGCTCCGGCTCTGCTCTGCTCCGCCTGGCTGCTGCTCCCTGGGGACACATCCCAGGTGACATCCCGGCATGGCAGCAGGGTGGCTGAGTACCCAGGTGTCCAGGTGCCCATCGGGCACCCCGAGGGAAGGGAGGTGTGAGAACAAGCCCTAGGTTCCCAATGCCCTCACCACGGGGCGCAGAGCCGGGAGGAGCAGGGTGGCTGCCCGGGGCTCAAGGGCACAGCCAGCCCGAGCGGCTTTAGGCGCGGAGCTCGAGTTCCTCACGCTGCCAGGCTGAGCTGGCTCCGAGCAGAGCTGCAATGTTCCCTGCCACCTGCCCACCAAGGTGGCCCACGGGGAGCAGCCCGAGCCCCCTGCCACCTTCGCTGTGCCAGCGCGGCCCGAGGAAGGGCAGAGCCCCACCGAGAGCGAACCCGGGGCTGCGGAGCAGGAGGGGAGGTGTGAGAAGCAGCGCTCGCTCCAGGCTGGTGCAGCTGGCACCTGAATTGTCTAATAAAGTGTGAAATTGCTTTCATGCTCTGCTACCTTTGCTGAGCTGGACCGTCATTAGGGCCCCCCCGCCTCGCCGCCCGCAGCGGCTGTGCCAGCTGAGCCCCGGGCTGCAGCCGTGCCTGGCACAGCCCCCAGCACCCTTGGGCCGGGGGTCCCCAGGGTGCCCTCCCTGCCTCTGAGCCCCTCCGCTGTGCCCAGGCTGTGTGACAGCACCAACTGCTCGGGGGCAGCACCGGGATGGGGGATCCCTGCCGTGGGGCTGGGGATGGGTCCCTGCCGTGGGGATGGATCCCTGCCGTGGGGCTGGCTGGATTCCTGCCGTGGGGATGGGTCCCTGCCGTGGGGATGGGGCTGGATCCCTGGGTGGGGCTGGGGATGGATCCCTGTCGTGGGGATGGATCCCTGCCATGGGGATGGGTCCCTGCCATGGGGATGGGTCCCTGCCGTGGGGATGGGTCCCTGCCGTGGGGCTGAGGGCTGCCATCCCGCCTCTTTATCCCTCGGGGGTGCAGGGATCAGCTCAGGTCGGAGCCCTGCCCTGAGGCTGTGCCGCTGCCAAAGCCCTGCCCTTGCCCATCAGATAGGGGACGGCTCCATCCGGCCGTGCCCGGAGCTGCCCCGGACCCTCCTGAGGCTGCAGAGAGCTCCCACCTCGGCAGGGACAGAGGGACAGCCCGGCCCCCCTCGCCGGTGGGTGAAGAATTGCTCCTGAGCCACCTGGCTGTGCACAGAAACTGTTCTCCACCTCTAATAACAATAATCAATCATCCTGCTCTGGGCAGGGGATGTGCGAGGTTTTGCAGGGCTAGGGAGCTGGTGGGGCTGGCAGGGGGATTTTGGGGGGTTCCCCTGAGGGGATACAGAAGCCTCTGCTCCGGTGGTGGTTTCTCTCCCGCACTGCCCACCAGGAGGGCAATCCATGACCAGGTGCACACCCCCTGCCAGGGGAAGTGCCAGCTCCTCTGGCTGTGAAAATCGTGATTTTGGAAGGAAAAGCAGCTGGGAGCCCAGGCCTGGCATGGGGCACAGGGTGGTCCCTGCTCCAGAGGGTCCCCATGCCAAAGGAGCTGCTGAGTGAGGCCCAGGAAAAGCCATTTCTGCAGGGCTCAGGATACTTTGCCCCAGGGAAGTGGTGCCACGTTTTTCCAGCTACTGATAAAGTTAAACCCTTGATCTGGTTAAAGATTTAGCCCACAAGGCAAGCCCGAGTAGGACAGCAATGCTGTTAGTGCCACTGGCTTGATGACACTTCAATTTTTTTCCTAATATCTAACCCAACCCTGCTCTGTGTCAGTTTGAAACCATTCCCCTTGTGCTGTCACTACAGGAGAAAAGCAGTCCCTGGGAGCAGGCAGGCAGAGTGCACCCTAACCCAGCAGCATTCATTGGCATTCCTCCTCTCCCAGCCTGCACAGCCTGTTCCCAACGCCCCGAGTGTTGATTGAATTGCTTCCCCCAGACCTGCCAATGCTTTGGGGACTGGAGCATCTGCACACACCACGGGCAGCCTGCTCCCTGCCTGCTCAGCCCTTCCCGTGGGATGTGCCAGCTGCAGGCAAGGAAAACGGAGCAATGACAAGGCCAGCTTGGTGTGGAGGTGCAAACGCCCCCATTGCAAAGATTCCCGGAATGAAGGGGATGGAGATCAGTCAGGAACCCCAAGAACCCCTTGGTAAGGTCTGCAAGCACCCAGAGGGGCTGGAAAACATCCTGATCCCTCTCTGTCCAGCACTCCATGCAGCCCATCAAGACATCGAGGCTGTTCCTTCAGCTCAGCCCAAAGGAGGAGATCTGTGGG